CCCCCCTCTCATGTGCTCTCTGGTTCTCTCTCTCTCAAATAAATAAATAAAATCTTTAAAAAAAAATGCTCTCTGTCTCTCTCATTCTCTCTGTCTCAAATAAATAAATAAAATCTTAAAAAAAAAAAAGAAAGAAGAAAGCTTGACCCCGCGTACGCTTCAGCCAGCCTCCCCCAGTGGTGATGTCCCTACAGAGGCCCAGTTCAGTACCTGCGGCGTAACCAGGAGACTGACGATGACACAGTGAGCCTTATTCAGACCTGGCGGGTTTTACACACACGCGTTTGTGTGTATGTGAGTGTGTTGAGCGCTATGCACCTGCACCTCTGTGCAGATGGGAGGGGGGGTCAAGTCACTGAGACCCTCAGGGCAGGGCTGAGGCAGCCACCACACAGGTCTACGGCTGACCCAAGTGGGCACCGGGGGCTTGGGGGCAGCAAGGTGACATTTGTGGGGCCCCCTGCTACAGAGGCCTTTCCCGAGGTCTCCAGGAGAGGCCTGAGGACAACCGGACAGTGGGTAGCTGGCGTGGACAGCCTGGACACCCAGGGAACTCCCTGCCGGCTTCTGCTGGCCCAGGAGGAGAGGCCCCGAGCCAGCCACCGGCCCAGCATCCGGTGTCACTTACAAACACAGGATGACTGTCACCCTAGGCGGGAGAGCCAGCCCTGCCCGCCCAACCTCCAGGCCACACCAAGCAGTCAGGGTGCCTGGCCCATACTTGGTGGGGGACGGGGCAGAACAGGCACAGTGGGACAGCCCCGGGGACCCCAGCCCAGGCCCAAATGCAAACAGAGCCTGGGGCTTGAGGAGGAACCCTCTCTCTCCACCTCCCGAGACCCAGACTGCAGTTTCCAAATCATATAGAACAGGAGGGTTCTCAACACAGAAGAAAAAAAAATCAGTGGAGACCAAGGTGTAGCTAACTTATATCCAAGCTTATCTACACTAAAGGAGTCTCCCCCACACCAGCCCACAGGGGTCCTGCGCAGGCCAGTCTTGGTTCCCCCTCAGGCGCAAGTGCAAGCCACTCACACTGTATGAACAAGAGAGCTGAGTTCCACGACCTGCCCACTGTCACGCCTTCCATGAGGGGAGGCGCAGGGACCATTTCTTAGCCCCCTTGAGCCATACAACTGCTCCTGGGGTGGAGACAGATGGAGCGTCCATTTGCCAGATGAGAACACTGAGGCTCAGAGCCGTTGAGAGAATCTGTCCAAGGCCACACGGCCAGGAAGTGTTTAACCGGGATGTGAACCCTGGAGGTCTGGCCCCAGAATGAACCAGGAGGCTACAGCTCCCCCTCACCTCATCCCAAAGCCTGTGTGACCCTCACTCTTGCCCCATTTTACAGACAAGGAAACTGAGGCTCACACAGGTGAGGTAAGGCCACTCAGCGTAAAAAGGGATGGAAGCAGGATTCAAACTCGAGTCCATGGCAAACGAGAGATGCCATTCGGGAAGCCAGCCCTCCCTGGCCCGAGCTCCAGGCCCCCACGAGACGTCCCGCTGCTTCCAACGGTCCTGGCGCACCCAGACCTCAGGACAAATCGCTCCCTCATCCCCTGTGCCTGCAACTGAAGGCTCCTTGTGAGCTCAGGAAGCCCTTCCAACTTTCCAGTGTTTATGCCGGCTCCTCGCTGCCAGGTCCCTGGGCAAGCCTGGGCCGGTGGCGCTGATTTCAAACCAGACACGGGCACCCAGCCAAGAGCCACCGCGGTGGGAGCCGGGCGCCGGGGCAGCCACAGGGCTGCCTGCACCTGGCTCCCCTCCCCTGCCCCCTGCCCGCGGAGGAGCCCACCCCCCAGATCCCGAGGCCCCCAGCTGCTACCCTGCAGCCACGGTGCCAGGAGCACCCCGATTCCTCGGCTCTGCCCGCTCTCCCGCAAGGACGCGTGCGCCCCAGCTCCGGGCAGCTCGGTCCCCACCCCACACGTCCAACCCCGCGGCCAGGCAGCGGCCAGAAGCCCTTCCCGCCGGGCCGCCCGCCTCTCGGCACCCTGCTCCCGACCGTAGGGACTCCGACCACTGTGACCACTGGCCCTTCATCCCCCCCAGCGCTGCGCTGCAATCGCCGCCTGCTGGGGCAGGGCCACCCGAGGCCACCGTGGCCAGGGCGCGACCGGGCTGCCTCCACCCAGCGAGCCCAGCGGCCCCCAGACGGACGCCCCGCCGCCCCACGGTGGCTCCCGGTCTTTGCCCACCTGGGCCGTGACCCGGCCGCACCGCGTCTCCCTGCCCACCACCAAGCCCAGAAACTTCTCTTACCCGAGCACATGACCAGCCTTCCACTCACGTCAGCTCCAAACACAACTTGAAGTAACTCTCCCACAAAAAAAAAAAAAAAGAAAAGAAAGAAAAAGAAAAAGAAAGAAGTAAACTGTGCCAGCAAGTGGGTCAGTGGAGTCCACACACACAGACTGTTCTGCTGGCTTCCAGAAGACACACGGCGTCCAACATCAAAGCCATCCTTCCTGCAGGACTGACACGGGGAGCGGCGGCCCCACCGAGCGGCCGCTCGCCTTCCCGCGAGACTACGGGCGTCCCCCCCGGCTGGGGAGGCCCCACAGCCAGGCCCGCACCCCCCCACCCCGGCCCCCGGCCCACTGTCCCCCCCCACGCCCCCAAGGCCAGCGCGGGCCGAGGCCCACCAGGCACAAGCCCCAGTCGCCGACCCCACGCCGGGGCCAAAACTCCGTGTCAGGCCTCCACGGTCCCTCCTCGCCTCCTGCCACTCCGGGCCTATAAACACAGAGAATTACATAAGTCCACTCCTCTTGTTCGGAAGCCAAAAGTACTCGCTTTTTCTCCCAGCCTTGGCAGTAAGTAATAATTCCTCATCGCCATGGTAACCCTGGCGGGCTTCCAGCCGACACTCAGGAGCTGAAACGCTGGGAGGCCTTTTTATAGCTCGGTAGAAAAACCTCTTCACTATTCCCTCCTCGCAGGCGAAAGCGAGCTCCAGGCCCGAATTCTCCTTTAACCCGCTTCCTTCCCCGCCGGACCCGTCCACCCGGGAGCCGGAGCTGCCTGCCTCCCCTTGCCCACCCCCCCCCACCGAAGGGCGGCGTGGGGCTCCTCAGCCTGGGCCTGGCGAGGAACCAAAGCCGCTGCCCGGTCCCTCCCAGGGCCTCCAGTCCTCCAGGGTGACATGGCGGAGGGGCAGGCTCTGCCTTTAAAATATTTCTGCCCTACTTGTAATCTCAGGAAAAGCAAACATGACCCCCTTGCATTGGTATTCGGAACGAGGGTCATCTCGGTGACAGGCCCAGGGGGTGAACAAAGACAGCCAACCCCCCCCCCCCCCCCGCCACACACACACACAGGCCAAAATGGATGCTTTGGTGGTCAGCCAGGGGTCTGAACCTTGGCTGCAACTGGGCTGTATGACTCAGAAACAAGTCTGAGCTCCTCGGGCTGTCAGCTTCCCATCTGCAGCAGGGGCAGGCCCCGCTCTGCTTCCCACAGTGCTCGGAGGGGCAGTGGCAGGGGGAGCAGCGGGATTCCCCCTCCACCCGGGGGCTCTCCAGATTCTCGCCCCCGCCCCCAGTAACCAGGACTCGGGCCCAAGGATATCTGCCCAAGATGGCATCCCCAGTGATGACACACGGGGGGGGGGGGTCCCCTGGGGATGCCGGGCCGGGCACCCCAGGCAGGAGGCACAGCAAAGGCGAAGGTCTGGAGGTGGGACAGTGTCTGGCGTGTCGCAGAAGCAGAGAGGAGGCTGGTGTGGAGCGAGGCAGAGGGAGAAGACGAGGTCAGGGGGTAACTGGACTAGAGGGGGAAGTAGGTCTCACGCCTCTGGGCAAGTCATGTCACTCCGAAGACTGGGAAGGCTCCCGAGGGGGATCAGGACAATGACGGCGGCAGACGGGGTCCTACGCGCCCAGCGCTGTGTAAGCACCTCACCTGTGGGCCCATCCAGCCGCACAGCAGCCCAACAAAAGGCCACGGGTGCGCTTCTGAACCCCAGGAAACGGGCCCAGAGAGGTTAAGCAGCTTGCCCAGGGTCACACAGCTGGCAAGCGGCCGAGCTGGGGTTTGAAATGGGCCAGCCTGGCCCGCATTCATCCTGCCACGTGGTACACTCAGCGAGGAGCCACGGAGGGTCGGGGGCAGATGGGACTGACGCGTGACAAAGGTCCATGGCTGCTGGACTAGCGAGGGGACCAGCATGGCTCCTAGGACAGCAGTCAAGAGGCCCCACGGAGGCCATATGTTGTTGACTTTAGTCAACGCACCCTCCAGTCTTTCCCAAGGAAACTCCCCATAGGGCGTTTCGGAAGGCCGCTGGGACCTGCCCTGAAAGCCACGGAGCGGACTCGGCCACTCCAAAGCCTCGTGGATGGGGACACCGAGCCACAGAAAGGAGCAGGCAACACAAAGTCGCGTTTTTAGTCCCCAGAGCTGGGTGCTGGCTCTCACCGTTAAGCATCAGATCACAAAACTCAGGAACGGGCGAAACCGGCCCCACCAAAACACGGCCAGGAAGCGGAGCCCGAAACAGCGGGGGCAGGACTCATGGGTTCCTTTTGTTCTTTTCTGTTTGTTTTGGACACAGACCTGCGCCCAGACCTTCACAGAAGCTGGCCTGGAACCGGGAGGAACTCATCCACGCCCCAACCAGAGCTATTTATGCTTTGGGCAGGTTCGACGCCGGGCGGTGTCATGCCACGGTCACTTCTTGTGTCTTACCCCCAAAAAGCCAGGCCGCAGATGATTTGTTGAGCGATTTCATGAACACGGCCCATCATCAAAAACCAGAAACAGTGACACGCAGCTCCTTCTAGATGGAGCCAGCTGCCAAACCTGAGCTTAAGATCAGAGAACGTTAGCACGTGGTCGACTGCCTAGCAAAGGAACACCTCATTCTCCAAGCCTCTGAGGGAGACCATCCCCAGGAACCTGTCCGCCAGGCAAAGCTTTGCACATCGGCAAACGATCAATGAAGAATTTAACAAGACATGCTTTGGTGGAGGCCACCGAGGCAAGGATGGAGAGGCAGAGGGGTCCCCCAGGGGAGGCAGGAAGGACCGGACGCAAGACCCTTGCCTCTGCGGGCATCAGTCTGCTCAGCTGTGAAATGGGGGCACACTGCTTGCTGCCTCTCTCAGGGTCAACAGAAACCACACCCGTTGCAGGGCTCAGAGAACCACAGGGTCCAGCCCCAGTGGAAGGGATCCCCACTCACTCCCTCCCCAGAGGAGCAGGGTTGGGGCTGAGGGAAGAGAAAGAAAGAGCGTGAGCTAGAAACACGCGAGCCTGTTCCCACCTCCCCTCTCCTATCCTGCCCCCCAGTGCTCCAGAGACCGCACAATGCCATACAATAAAAAGGTTCAAGCGTGGACCCCTGCCACAACGTGGATGGACCTCGAGAACATGATGCTCCATGCATGGAGTCAGACACAAAAGGTCACACAGTGTGTGATTCCACTGATAGAAAATTTCCAAAACAGGCAGGTCCCCGGAGAGGAGAGAGCAGGTGGTCACCAGGGGCCGCGGGGAGGGGAGATTCGGGAGGGACTGCTAATGGCTTCTGGGTCTCCTTGGGGAGAAGGTGACGAAGATATTTTAGACCTAGACAGAGGTGTTGGCTGTGTACAGCACGGCTCCGGAATGAAAAACGAATGAATTGTTCACTTGAAAATGGTTAATTTCACGTGATGTGAATTTTGCCTCCGTTCAATAAGGGAAGAGTCCCTGACCCCGGGCCTGGGGCCGTCCATCATTCAACACACACGTACTGAGCCCCTGCTGTCCGCACTGGTCACTGGGGAGACAGCAGAGATGAGAACAAAGATGCCTGCCCTCGTGGAGCTGACACGGGAAGAGGTCAGGAGTCAAGAGCAGACGAAGACGTGATGTAATGCACGTCACAGCAGCTGCCGGGGACGGTTTCTGGGGCGGTGGCAGTTCAGCAGTGTCCAGGCTGGAGAAGACAGACAGATGTGGAAACTTCTCAGCCAAGAGGGTGCCAGGCAGAGGAAACAACCAGGGCAAAGGCCCTGGGGCCAGGTGGCCAGCGTGGCTGGGGCCGGCAACTGTGGTCACAGGGTCCAGAGGTCCAGGGCCTTGAAGGCCACAAACAGATCTTTAAAGTTTAGCTGTGATGAAAATAAAATTCACAAAACCGCATTGGTTTCCTAGGGCTGCAGAAACAAATTACTACAAACTGGGGGGTGCTTAAAGCAAGAGCACTTTATTCTCTCACAGCTCTGGAGACCGGCAGCCCAAAATCAAGGCTCTGGGGAGGATCTCCCTCACCTCGTCCAGCTCATGGTAGCCCCGGGCGGTCCTCGGCTTGTTGTCTCTGCCCCCATCTTCAAAGGGCCTTCTCCTCTGTGTGTTTCTCTTCTAAGGACTTTTGTCATCGGACTTCGGGCCCATCCTAATCTAGGAGGATCTCATCTCAAGATGCTTGACTTGATCGCATCTGCAAAGACCCTCTGTCCAAACAAGGTCACATTCACAGGTTCTGAGCGGACACAGCTCAATCCACTACGTGGATTCGGCTCAATCCGGCAGCATCAGATGCTCCGCAACATGCCGGGCCTCCCCCTCTCCTTTCTGCACCGAGTCCGGGGAACCAGGCTGGAAGCTGTGGGGACAGGCACGTGGGCATCTCGAGGAATCCCCCCAGGGGCCCTGCAGCCAGCCCTCTCCCAGCCTAAGCCAGCTACAATTGGACCCCAAGGAACCCAGAATCCCTTCCCTGAGAGAGGTATCCATGAGCCATTCACAGGGGACTTGCAAGAAAGGGACCTCCTTGATAGGTAAGCCAAAACGGGCCACCACCTTGGTCCCTGAACGGAGACCTCCCCAAACCAAAATGCACCCTTCTTCCTCTACCACTTCATCCAGGGACAGAAGCCACGTTGGTTAAAGGCAGCCAACTGTCCCACCAGGCTCTTTTCCTGGGTGCCGTTTTTATTTTAAAAAGGGGCCACCCCCACCCGGAGCAGCTGCGAGCTAGCGGTGGGCAGGGCTAACTGTCCCAACTGTCCAGACTCATGTCCAAGTGCAGCGCCATCCTGCAGCAAAGGGCACAGAGCGGCTGGCAGGGATGGCTGGGGCAGAGGCAGGAGGCAGGGGGCAGATGGCCGCCCGCTCCGGGGCCCCGGGAGCCCACGCCCCAGCAGCAGAGGAAGGAGGAGGTGTCCAGGAATGCTCCTGGCCACCGCCAGCCGGATCTCAGGCCCCAAACCAGGAAGGACAGGTAATACCAGCCCAGGGGGACACACGCTCCCAACATGCCAGGCATCGGGGGCACAGGCTCCGATGTGCTCCTTTACACCTTACAGCAATCCTATGGAGTATAATCGACCCATTTTACAGATGGGGAAACCCAGGAACAGGGATGAAGTGACTTGCCCAAGGGCAGGAAGCAAAAGTGGCAAAGCTTAGAAACAGGCAATGTGGTACCCAACTCTATGTCACCACCCACTAGGCTTTACGGCTCTAAGTGTCCCCAACTCCACGGGAGGGCTCTAGCAGGGCCTACTATGGCCTTGGGCCCCGACTTTTGGAAATGGGATCTCCAGGGGCG